CTTTTGTCAACTGTTACCATGTTTTAAGTACAGGAACTGATCTCTACAAATTAAGGGGGCCTTAAGAACTGTTTAATTCTAAGTTCTGAATATTATTATTTGTATTAAGGGAAGGTTTACAGATCCATTAGGCCTCTCTGGACTATAAGCATAGCAAACAAAAAAGAAATATGATGCTTTTCCTGGAAAGCTTATAGTTCTGCCAAAAACTAAATGTTACATGTAGTGAACAGGAGTAAGGACCTGAGAAAGCAAAGAGGAAATTGGGACTTTAGTGCTATATCCATTAATTGCATCACAGAAAACGCACAAGAATTAGACCAACACAAGGCAGATTTTAATAACGGTCCTGGAGGAAAGGGCAAGAATTATTATTTAGAGTGAGTAGAAAACAAAGAGTGAGCAAAAAGCTTTAAGGGGGATGTGTGGGGGAACTCTCTGGATGCCCCTGCTGCTTCCCCATCTCTGTAAGGGTCAGTATAATACCAGCTTTGAAAATATCCACAACTAACATCCTACCAAAGCCCACCCCAATCTAAGAATAGAAAGAAAATTATGAGTTCAAAACAGACATAGCAGCCCTGAGACTGCTGAATTTGCTGTACCAATTACCTATCTGCAATATTACATATTCTCCAACCAAATACTATTAGCGTGGTTCTCAAAGCAATTCAAAGAGACTGCTGTACTTCATCAAATCATTTTTGGACATCCCACAAGCTTTCAAGAGAACAATGGTTTTTAAGAGTAAAGCAAACAAGACCATTTGTTGGCATGTTTCAGTACAATCTGGTTTTCAAAAACTTGTTTCTTTCTTCCATGTTTTTTCCACTTGAATTTTTATATTTGTTTAGAGGTAAGAAAAACCTTTGCAATTCTCAAATGCCAGCTTTTTTTGTTTTTTTAAGAGAGCAAAAGGTGGTTTCCAATACTTCATTAAACAAGGACTCACATCTGCCAGTCTGAAGGGAAAGCAGGCTGAGGCATCAAAAGTATTGCAGTTAGTGAGTTTAATCCTTCTGATGCAATCAGTCTGCAATGCGATCTGATTAAATTTACAGACTCCAACCTGAAGTCCAGTACTTCAGGTCCAGAGATAAGTAGACAAATAGTATGAGAGAGCAGTCTGCTGTGGGCTTAAATAAACCCTAGACTCCACAGTTCAGGTTAACATTTCTAAAGAATGCAAGCCAGGTGGATTGATTTAACACAGCATTAAAAAACCATCTGGGAAAGAAAAACATGTACATCAAAAAACAATCGTGAGACAATCTTCTCAGTGTAAAATAATTAGTGGAATGTGTGACATATAAAATAAATTTCTGCACATATACCGACACTGCCACCATCAGCCTTGCTTTCTCATTTATTTAGGTGAACCTGTAATTGGCAAACAGGCAGTTACTCATGGATAACAGTGGAGGTGCTGAGCTGCTGGAGACTTCGACACTGCTGCAAAATAGAGTATATGTTCATATGTGTTTGTGCAACGGACACTTGCTGTGCAATATTATCTTGTCTCTACAGATAAATTAGTTGCATCATGCTCCTGCCAGCTTGATTTGTTTAGCCTTTATGGAGTACAGAGTACATGAAGTTTCTTGTGATTGAATCTCGCATAAAAGGTAAACCTGAGAGTTTATTCTACACTATGCTATACATCCACCAAGGCATCTAGAGCATTTGCTGACTTGATGTTGAAAAGAAGGCTATAAAATATACTGGGGAAATCTTGAAACGTCACTCACTTGACGTGGCAATACAAGCCCTGCATTAAGATGCAGAGCTGATTTCCCTGATCCATGAAATTGCCTGGATATTTAAGGCATTCTCAAACAGAACCGGCATGAAACTCACCCTTCATTCCTGGCACAAGGACACCATAGTTTTTCTGTTCTCCAAGAAAAAAAGAGTGCAAAATAGCAGAGATAAGTATTCTTTAAAAGAGGACCTAAATACAATTTCCTTCCTTTCTCACGTAAGATGAAATAAATATTCAAAATGTCTTTAATGCTGGAAGATGTTTATGCTTGCCGACACGCTGCTCAGAGATGCTCAGGTTCTCTGCTGTGAGTTGGTACAAGAACCTCTTACAATAAAACACAAAGTGTGCAAGTCTATGACCACCTTTGGAGAGGGACGTTTGTCCCTCTCATAAATAGGTGACAGGGCTGGAATAGGCACAATCTGTGGACAGCTATGAAAAAGATTATGATGCAATATATTGTACAATTTTATGGTCTGAGATCTGGGACATGGTTCAGAATTCCTTAGCAAACATGTATTTCCAGCTGCTAAAGGACAAGAAAAGACCCATCTACACTTCCAAAGTATTGGCGAGCTGAGAGTCAGGTGTAAGTATAATTTCTTCCAAAGACCCATCCAATGCAAACACACAGACTGCAATAATGGGGGAATTTGAAATGACCAAAAGATTCCCTGGAACACTGTCTTGCAGGCTCTGCTAGCTTAGATTCAGAGGAGGACAGTATCCACAAGGAACAGAGTACAGCAATAGTAGAGCTACATGTTAGGTTATCAACAGTTTCCCATTAGGTAATTGGGAAGGTTTATAGATCAAGAGGCACCTGACATTGCAGTACATGGCACATCTGACTGAAACTGCACACACCCGCAGGTTTCAAACCAGCACTGTAAGACTGGCAGACAATCTCCTCATTGATTTCTATCCAAAATCACACTGAAAGGGTAATCTCCTTTAAACCTGGTGCATGCATTGCACATATAATTTTCAGCATCTGCATAGCAAAGAAAGACCTGAGACTCAAACTGAGGTCCAAGATTTTAACTAGACCTGGATTACCATTCCTTCTTGTTGGCAAAGACATAGAATTTCCTAACCTTTTCCAGGTAAAATTTCTCAGTCAGTTTTTGTCTTCAGCTAGGCTGACAGCTCTTCCCATTTTGTAGTAAAGCTTTGCACTGACCAGTTTAAAATCCAGTACTCTTCCCCTGCTTCCTGTAATTCTTTTCCTCATAGCACATATAGAGGCCTATATTTATATAGGTATACAGAATTATACAAAATACAAATGGAAAGGACTCTTGAAGACATCTGGTATGTGACCCCATTCAAAGCAAGATCAGCTATACCTAATTAGCTCCTGACATACGCTTGCTGACCCTACTGAAACAGAGACTCCACAAACTCCCTTGGATATTTATTGTAATGCTTTGCTATTCTTACTATTAGAATATTTTTCTAATGTTTAGTGTCTTCCAGAAATTTTAATTAAAAGTTCCCTTAGAGGAAGACTGGATTATTGTGCATTCTGATACATGAAGGAAAACACATACAGAAACACATGACACATTGAATTTGAGGTTCATAAATGATTTGTAGACCACATAGGTGTTTTTTCAAACTTCCTGATTAAAAAGTTTAAATGGAAGCAGCTATTTATGTATCGACCCTATTGTTCACTTTAAAGAAGATGTTGATCATAGTAATTTCCTCCCCGATTTGAGTTTTGAAGGCTCTAAGTTCTCTGAAGAAAATACTTGTTGGCATTTTTGGATGATAAACATCCCAAAGTGATGATGATAAATTACAGTGTTGCCCAATGATGCAGAAAAGTAGAGAAACGCAAACTGCTAACCTCTGATTTATGAATACACACTCTTATTACAGAGTCTAGGGGTTCACAGCTGTAAGAACAGGTCATTTTCATCTCATTGCTTATTAAAAGTGTGAGAAGGAAGCACGAAGGGTGGCTACCATTTTGCAATGTATTGGATAGATTGACACTTAATACTCTTTGTCTCCAATACGAATGTAAAATGATACAGATTTTCTTGCCTTTTTAAGGCCTACACAAGCATTTGTTACTGTTCATAATCACAGAAGATGGAAATCTTTACATTATCAAGTTTTCTCACATTTTAATATATTCATTCCTCTAAACCTTTTCTTTACACAGAAAAAACCCATTTGTCCAAGATATTAAAATAAATCCTGTGATATACTTGTTAAAACACGTTGGTGTTAATGACAAAATTTACTTCGCAAAGTATTTAAACTGAGACTTTCACCTGGCGTTCCCAGTGAAAACCACCCAATGCACTCTATTACCTCTCTGCTAAATATTCAAAGCAGGCAAAAAAAGGAGTAGGAAAAATATGGTCAATACAGCAAATTGGAAAGAAGTAAAATGTTTCTATATGCCACCATTTGGTTGTTACAGTTATCTTAATCAACCCAAACAGCTTCTCTGAGACATCTAATTTGATTTTACAAAGTGCTAACCCATAGCCATGTTTGACTTTCTTTTGATTCCAAATGTAAAAAATAGCCTTTATCTAATGTTCAGGCATATAATCTAACTACACATGCATTTGCATTTGCATTACGAGGCAGTGAAACATGGCTGGAGAGCCATCTTGGATGTTATCTATGTTATTACTCAAGTGGAGAGTATAATCATAAATCCTTCTCTTCCCCTCCACCCTCCCGCCTTTTTTTCAGAAGTACACTTAAAATCTGTTTTTAAGCTTCACTGGCTCCATTACATCTGAACTTCAGTAACAAGAATGTGATATGAATATGTAGAGAGAAAGCATAGACAAAAGGTATATTTTCATAATGTGGTTCACTTTAACTGTTCCTATAATTAGCTACAACTCATTAGGCAATAAAAAGACAAACAAAGAGATTATGAATAGAAGGGCAATATTTTCTCCATAAAACAAACAAAAAACTTTAACAGATGCCTCTTTTCTAAGGCTTCCCTTGCATAAATACACCCAGCAGCTTAGAAAAGATATTTTCATGATTGAAAATTTCTGTGTAGAAAGAAAACCTGTAAACATTATCCTGTGCAATTTCAATAAAAAGTATTTACAGCTATTGTACACTTGGGATTTTTTTGATCTCAAGGATAAAATAATGATACAGAAATGGTCTGCAGATGACTAGCTTTGATCTTTTATTAGTTCTTATAATTGTCTCTTAATTTGTATTCTGCATAATAAGCACTCACCTTCACCGTTTGTCCAGCTTCGGGGCCATCCTGTAAGCAAAGGGAGAAGTCTCAGGTTAGAGGAACTAACAAGGATCACACAGGGATTCAGAAATCTCACTCAATAATCATTTACATCTGATTTCACTGTATGCTAATTTAGCATATCTTCCTGGGGACCATTCAACACAGTTTTTGGACATGGCACCTTTCTATATGAGGCCATGGCAAAGTAAGAAACTGATCTTAGAACACAAAAATTATAGTTGTTATTTTTCATTCTTTCAGATCGTATTTTTTAATAGGTAGCAATAGATTTCTGATCCTTGTGAATATAAAATCAGACACGTAAGTGAGAATTTAATCAAAGCATGCTTGCTTAAATTCTTATTCTAATGAAATGGGCTTAGTCTCCTGATTTGCTTTAAACAGAGCTCTTTTTTGGTATAAAAACACTCAGCACAAATAACTGAAAGGTCAGAATTGATAACATATTTACATGGCTACATCTCTCTTCTTGCATATAAATAGCTGTGAGCAGGAATTACCTGTTTCCATCACCAGCAATGGGTTACCTGCTGAATGGTGAGATGTGGCTGCCTTCTCTAGGTCAATTCTGCAAACACTTCTTTGAAGGAAGCATATTTGCTGAAATACTCACAAGCAAGCACTGCATTTGGGAGTGTTTGCAGGCTTATTCGAAGTTTTGCAGTTATTAATTATCCACACTTTTCTGCTGGCTTGCCTCTTAGGGGCTTTTTAATGGCAAATCTGGCAGACTGCAATGCAGTTATTGTGCTGCTTTTTTTTATTATTATCTTGCATTTATTGCCCCTTGAAGTTTGAACGTCCTTTGTGATTGGACTAGGGAGGAAGGTTGAAAGCTTGATAAAACAAACCATTAAACCTTTTTTAGTTGACTGGTTTACAAACCTGAATTGAAATGGTGAGCGAGGTGCCGCAGAAGTGTTTCTCCACCACATCACCAACCCTTTGCACCGTACGAAATAAATCGGCCACTTCCTCAGGACACAAGTCATGGAAACGCTCCACCAGCCGCAGAGGACAAACAAGGACATCTGAAGGTGGTATTGTCAAGGCACAAACAGAAGTCTGAGTGGTCCAGAAGGACAAGTGACTGAATCCCTGGCCTGTAACCTGCTTCTAATCATTTTTGTACTGCCTAAATCCCTCCTTCTCCAGGGATTACCACAAGAGCCACTGAAATGTAAGGCTAAATACAGGGAATCATATGATGCTTTGTTCAGAAGACATTTCCTTTGGATGTGGGCAAAATGGCTAAAATAAGGACCATATCTTACTACTGAGACATCTAAAGGAAAGCAAAGTTTTCAGACTCAAAGTTACCATTTTGATGGAGGGATGCTTGTTTTTAACACCTCTGAAAGTCACAGTGTAGTGGTTTAACCCAGCTGGCAACTAAGCACCACGCAGCCGCTCGCTCACTCCCCCCCCTCCCTCAGTGGGATGGGGAGAGAATCGGAAAGAAAAAAAAAGGTTAGAGCCGAGGGCTGAGATAAAGACAGTTTAATAAGAGAAAATAATAATAATAGTAATAATGAGAATGGTAACAGAATATACAGAATATACAAAACAAATGATGCACAATGCAATTGCTCACCACCCGCCGACTGATGCCCAGCCCGTCCCGAGATGCGATCACTC